AAAATAACCATTTCGCAACGGTTTTTTTAACAATTTTAATATAAACCGTTGCGAAACGGTTTATTTAACTAAAGAGAACCGTTTCACAACGGTTTTTTAAATTATTTTAATAAAAACTGTTGCGAAACGGTTTATTTAACTAAAAAAAACCGTTGCGAAACGGTTTATTTAACTAAAAAAAACCGTTGCGAAATGGTTTATTTAACTAAAAAAAACCGTTTCGCAACGGTTTTTTAATGATTTTAATATAAACCGTTGCGAAACGGTTTATTTAACTAAAAAGAACCGTTTTGCAACGGTTTTTAATTGTCTTAATAAAAAACGTTGCGCGAAAACGTTTTTTATTTTCTAAGATTCAGATCCGATCCGAATCCGATCCGAATCTGTTCGAATCTGATCCGATCCGATCCGATTTGAATGAATAACTGATCCGATTTGATTCGATCCGAAACGGATCAAATTTTTTTGATTCGGATCAGATCACGGATCATAAAAAAGCTGATCCAATCTGATCCGTTTCGGATCAGATCCGCAGATACGAATCAGATCGGTTTTTTTTTGGAACACTAGATTTTAGTATCCCTTGTAAATACTGCTATTTCAGATTCTGTATCATCTTTTGCATCTAAGTTAGTTTTTGCTGTCTAAATAAAATGTATTTATTATTTACATCTATTATAATTTTTTTATATAATGATAATTTAATATTAATTAAACTTACAAATGAATCAAAATTCAATAGCTCATCAAATTCATCTAAATTTATATATTCATATGGTGTAGTCATTTTATTAAAAATTTAAAAAAAAATGATAAAAATAATAAAGTTAATAAGTTGGGAAAAAATTAAGGACGAAAAAGAAAAAGTTTAAATCAGCAAAATCATTATCGAGATTTAAGAAATCTAATCATTTTTGGTACTACATCTGCAGAAATGTTTCACAAATCAAATAAAAGCTAAAAGTACAGGTATTATTTGATTAACAATACCTAGAGGTTTGAAATTTTCCATTGTATATCAGTATGATCAGTATGATTAGCATAATTTTGTATCGTACCTATATCTTATCAATCGTACCTTACTTATCATATATTATACAGTCAACTCTCTATAAATGCACCCTCTATAAATGCACACCCTCTACAAATGCATCCTTTTGCCTGGTCCCAACTTGGGACTTAATGCTAAATGCACACCCTCCATGTTCTACACGTGTAATAATTTTTTTAATTCAATTATATAGTGTAATTTTCTATAAATGCACTCACGTGATTTTTACGTGAAATAGATACCAAAATACTCAATTTAATTTAATGTATTACATGTATTACATTGATTTTCTATTCCTTATTTGTCTATTTATATTAATAAAAATTACTAAAAGTTGTCAATTAAGACATGTATTACTGAACCTATATAATTGCGCGTAGTATGCGCAGTACGCATAGCTCGCGCAGTTTAATTAACTTCATACCGGTAAATAGTTATGCCGAAAAATAGAGTCACTTTAACCGACCTTCAAAAATATGAGTTCTGTCTTTATGCTTATGATAATAAAAAGACTTGAACCCAATATGTGAACTGGATAGAAGAAAAATGGGGGTTAGAGTTGATGAGTCCACAATTACAAGAATTTTGAAAAGTAAGAATAAGAGACTTGGTACAGAAATTGCTAATTCAGAAGCAAAGCGCCATAAATCTGTTCTTGTTCCAGAACTCGAGCTTGCATTAAAGGAATTTGTATTAAATTATCAGCATAAAACAATTTTGAGTGATGGTGTTTTAACTGAAAAAGCAAAACAGTTAGCTGATGAGTTAAATGTCCCTCAAGGAACATTACAATTTTCTTCTGGCTGGCTTCAAAAGTTTAAAGACCGTAATAATATTCGTCAGGTAAAACTTCAAGGAGAAGCAGACTCAGCTGACGTAGATGCTATTGCTGAAGCTCTGCCATTAATTAGAAATAAATGTTCCAAATATCCTCCTGAACGAATTTACAATATGGACGAAACTGGGCTTTTCTATCGGTAATTTTTTTTAATATTCAAGTTTTCTTTATTTGTATTAGCTCATTATCATCTGATGTATCAGTTATTTTTTAGGTTAGAACCAGATCGAACATTAGTTACACAGCGTCTTTCTGGACAGAAAAAATGCAAAGAACGCCTTTCTGTTGCTTTATGTTCAAATGCCGATGGTTCATATAAACTGAAGCCATTGATAATTGGTAAATATGCAAATCCTCGATGTTTTAAAAACATCAATATCAGAAATTTACCAATGACTTATCGGAATAATTCTAAAGCCTGGATGTTAACAACTCTTTTTCAAGAGTGGCTTCAAGAATTTGATTATCAAGTGGGCATAAAACACAGAAGGCAACGTATTTTATTACTTTTTGATAATTGCACAAGTCATAAGCTAGAAAATCTAACTCTTTCTAATGTTGAAGTTTGCTTTTTACCTCCTAATACAACTTCAAAACTTCAACCAATGGATGCTAGTATCATCATGTCTTTTAAAAAACACTATCGGTGTTATCATATTAGGCAAGTTTGTTTATAATGCATTATTGTGTAATATTTCAATTCAAATCTTAATTTAATTTTTATTTGTAATATTAGGTGGATGTTAGAAAAAGTTGAAGCTGGTCAACATATACAAGATTTGAAAATGGATGTTTTACAAGCAATACAATACATCATTCAAAGTTGGAATAAAGTTTCAGTCAATACTATTTGAAACTGTTGGAATCATACTAAAATTCTTGGTGGAAATGGTGATGATAATGGGGATGATGATGATAGAGATGATGATGATAGAGATGATGATGATGATAGAGATGATGATGATAGAGATGATGATGATGATGATGATGATAACGGAGATGATGATGATAATGGAGGTGATGATGATGATGATGACGATTCAGTACTTGATGTTGATCTTAATAAGGCAATTAAAGCTCTTCGTTTACCCAATATGATGCAATTAAAAGAATTTCTAACAATTCCCGAAGAAAATATTGTTTATGAAATTTCTGAAGATGAAATTATTTCAGAACTTGCAAACATATTTAAAAAAAATACCAATCATCCTGATGAAATAGATGATAGTACTGAAGCAGAAATCATTAGCATTAATGAAGCTTTAAAATGCTTAAAAACTCTAAATTTGTTTTTACTTCAACAAGAAAATGCAAATGAACATATAAAATTAGTGGGTATTATTGAAAAATACATTAAAAGAAAACAAGTAAAATCAATGCAACAAACTACTATAGATCAATACTTTAGATAGTAATTACTGCTTTATTTTTCGTAATTTTTGTAATTTTGTAATTCTTCAATTTTATAATAATAAATAATATTTCAATTACTACTATATATTCTTTAAATGCACACCCTCTCTAAATGCACACCGGTGCCCGGTCCCAAAGGGGTGCATTTATGGAGAGTTGACTGTAGTACCGTAATTAAATACTATATACTCCATTTAATTGTATTGCACTTGCACATACTTCCTGTAAGCATACCAGTACTAGAACTCTGATTTCGTGCAGCTTCTCTAACAGATATATTATCTGTTGGAATATGATCTAACTCCAAATATTCTTTCAATTCACCTGCATAATATAAATTATTCAATATTCCACTAATACATCCAAGACGATATTTAAATGTATCATTATAATTTAACTTCTCTATGACTTTGCATGGAAGTACAGGTCGATTTGTATCAAATCGGTCAATTTTTGGAATAAGAATCTTTATGTACTCCTTAATCTCATATTCTAGCTTATGCTTTGATTTTGCAATTATTGCAGAGGTCATTTTCGTGGTATAAGTCTCTAAATTTTGACAAGCAAAGTCTTGTAATACTTGATGTCTCCTTGTTAATTGATTTGTCAGATCTTGTAGTGGTTGTAAAGAATGCTTTAAATGAAATTGAATTAAATAATATTAGTATTTTTTATTATATAATTCTTTAAGATAATAAAAACTTGTCTGTAAAATAGCTAAAAAAATTACTAACTGCATCTTCATTCAAATTTAATTCTTGATTTAAGTTTGTTGAATTAATTTCATAAGTGGTATTGTCAATCAAATCATCTAAGTTATTTATAGATTCTTGAATACTTTCTTCAAATTCATTTAGAATTTCATCTTCAGAAAAAATATTATTTTGAAACTGATTAAGCATGGCAGAATATTCATGTAGAGTTCCACCAAATACAAACTCATATGGTTTTTTATTATGTGCTTTACAAACTAAATTATTCATTGCATAAATTACAAATCTTAAACCAAATGACCAATCTTGATGATTATTATCTTCCATCCATTTTTCTAATTTAGTTTCAAGAATTCCATTTGCTCATTCAACTAGACTTTGACTTGTTGGTCTTCCATTAATAATTTGAATTGTAGGCCATAAATTAACTAATTCAATAATTATTGAAGAAACAAATTCTTTGCCATTATCCAACTGAAGAATTAAAGGTAATCCAAATGTAGTAAAAATATCAAATAAAAAGCAGCAACTTCTATTGTACACTTTGAAGTAAGTGCACAAGCTTATGAATATCTTGTAAAATGGTCATGCATATGAGCAATATATTTAAATTCATTATCTTGCTTAAAGGTCATGTCAATTAAATCAATCTATTTAAATCAAAAACAATTACTTTAATAAATAATTATAAATTTACCTGCAAATGTGACATGAATTTTTGTTCTATAATTAGTATTCCAATCAATGATCGAATCTGTGTAAGTCTCACTGTACAAATATTATATTGTGCCACAAATTTTTTTACAAGATTTTATCAACAATATTCCCATTTACTACTAATTTGATTCCAAGTTTCTTTTTGACCCCTATGCTGAGTAATTGTGAAATGTATTTTGCAAAATCATTATACATATTTTTTACAACTAATACATACAGTATAATGTAGTATTTGTAGAATTAAGAAGAACTTCCTTTATTTTTTGTAGTTTTTTCTGATTAATTAAAGCTTTTTTTTCTTAATTAGTGCTAAGTTTTCAATATATTGTTTAACCAAATTATCAAAGCTTTGATGAGAAATAAATGAATATTCCATAATTTTAGATTTAATATGAAAAAATAAGAAAATAGTTAAATACTACAATTTTCTTATTTATTACTAATCCAAATAGACTATTTTATAATGATTATATAATGATTATATTTTTTTTATGCATTTCAATTTGACACATAAATGATAAATTGATTTGATGCATATCAGACTCAAATTTCAATCTGATGTAAGTTAATTTTAAATTTATGCCTATTTTAATCTGACATATAACATATATATTACAAACTCAATATTCAAGTAACTTTATAAATTTCAAGTTTAATATTCAAATTTTTGAATTGAGTCAATAAACCAATGTTGAGACATAAATAGTAATCTTTAAGTTTATCTAATATTCAAGTCTTTAATAAGTCAACCTAATATTGATTCCATTGGGGCATAGGTGATCTTTAAGTTTGTCTGATATTTAAATCTTTAAGTTGACTTGATGGAATTGAAAAACTAGATGGAGAATAAAGAATATGTTAGTTATTAAAAATGTTATGATTCTTTAATTCTTCTTTACTAGGATACTTAACCAAACTATTAAATTACCAAGAACTGGAAAATAAAATGTAAAGTAAATAAAACAAGTAGTGGACCATTAATTAATATTCATAATTCAATATTTTCAGGAAGTGATCAAAGAATTGGAATAATCAATAATGAATCTTTTAATATTAGTAATTTAAAAAGAACTCAGAAGATAGTTTTAGAAAAGATATATATGCTTTTTTAGCTAAAAATTGCATTGTGGGAACAAACTGGATATTTACTTTCTTAATTAACTGCACAATTTAATCTCAAAATAATAATAATAAATCAAAATAGAGAAAAGTAGATGGTGAAAATTACCAGCCTCATAATACCCATGTGATTATACAGCCAATAGAAAGATGGAATAATGAAGAGTTACAAAGGTTATTTACATTGGCTTTAAAAGTTATTGTATGCCTTAGTAAGTTTTAAAAAAATGCAAGTATACATTTTATTTTATTGTTCAATCTATTTATTTTTTTTATTTTATTAAATAATAAAAGATAAAGAATCATTCAATTCATTGATAAAAATCAAAAATAAGCTGAATAATAAATTGTCAGAATGATTAATCTTAACAATAAAGAACAAAGATGAAGATCATACAGATCTAATGGACTTCATCTTGGATAACATTAATAAACTTAAATTATCAAATGAAGAATATATAAAACAGATTTTACAATTAATTGACTTTAATTTCTTGAAGATTTGCCAGTTGATAGCCATGGTTATTTTAAGACAGCTATTATGAAAAAGTCTCTAGAGGTAGAACATTCTTTTTTATCATACCTTATTATAGGAGCATATTACCATGCCTTGCAAATGTTTTTAAGTAATTTTTTCGCATAAGGCAAAATGTTTTTTGCCTGAAGTAGAAAGTATATTATAGTCTGAGTCTTTAAGCTTTATTATAATATACGCAGGTAGCTCCATTGATATTATATTTTGTCTATGACCATGCCTTGCAAATATTTTTGAACGATTTTTTCGTACAAGGCAAAATGTTTTTTGCCTGAAGTGGGAAGTATATTATGATCTGAACCTTTAGGTTCCATTATAATATGCATAGTTAGATAGACAGTTAATAAGTCATTGATGAATGAAGTTTTTGGTCTATAATAATAATGGTTCCTTCAAGAAATGTCAGAATGATCCTGATCCTGGAAATAAGTCATTATAGAATAATCATCTCCTGAAATTGGAAACACTAGCTGTTATGGACCGAATAAATAAAGTATATTTACTTTGGTCTTTTATATGTATGTTATTACATAATTTTATGATTTTCTTTTAATTGGTTATATATTATTATTAGCATGAAATTTGAAGCATTGCTGTACAAGAAGAGATAGAGAGATACAAAAATGAGTAAGCATCAAAATTTTCAGGAAGAGAGGGTACATCAGAAAAAAAATCAAAAAAATGTAAAGTTACTGCAAATAAAAATGAAATGCTCTCCTGATGAAGATGATGAAGAAATTAAAATTGACTTAAAAAGAATTTCAGATAAATTGCTACATAAACTGAAAGTCAAAGTATGCTAGTGATAAAATTCTAACTTCCTTTTTACTTTGTGTATTTCAAAGTTTGCTTTCATTATCTAGTGGGAAGTAGGTTGCATTAATGTAACTGATCGATTTTGGCGGTAACAAAAAGAAATTATTGAGAAAGAAAAATGGATTAAAATATGATAATATTTATGAGTTATTGTATGTATTTTAAACATTGTATCTTTTAGCTAGCATAACAATCATATCAGGATATATATTAAGCAACTTTCTTCTTGCTATATTTAGAGCTTTGTTTTCGATAATAGTGTTTAAGCAGCTCAACTGGCCATGTTTGTATTCCACCATAATTACAATCGCAGAATGGAAAGAAATAACAAGAACTAATCCCTATACATCTCAAGATTCTCCACTTTCTCGAGATATTTTATTATCTTTATATGATGTCTCATTCAACCATTTTCTTGAATTAGATTTATTTGTGAAAAATGGTGAATTGAAGTTGAGTAAAATAGTCATGTTTAAGGATGTTAGATTGCTTAAACAGTTCAGTTCAAGTTCTAAACCCGATTAAACTAATTTGAATCCAGTTTCAAATTGATCTACATAAATTAATTTTCAAATCATATTTGAAACTATACTTATAAGTGTATTAGTAAAGTTTGCTTACTCAAGCAATTAGTTTAAATCTGATTTAATAATATAATACGCAAAATAATTATTTTTATTTCATTTGTAAAATTATTAATGCATATATGAATTATTATGCTAATATACTTTATGCTCAAAAATTGATTTCAAATCCAATTTAAGCATATTGAGTTTTAAATACTATTAGTAAAATCACATGATCATAAAACTCGATTCAAGTAGTTTTTACTTTGAACTCAATTGAATCATGTTTTCTGAACTCAAATAACATCTCTAGTCACACTCATTCAGGACCCCGGATATCTAATATAAAGGTCATAATGGACTTTTGGCCAAAAACACCCCTTTTTGCTGAAACTCAAAAAATCGTTTTTTGTAAATATCTCAGCATCCAGTAATTCAATTTTAATGAACTTTTTTTTATTTTGTAGCCCTCATTTAGCTCTACAATTTAAAAAATAGTTCATCAAAATTGGACTACTGGATGCCGAGATATTTACAAAAAACGATTTTTTGAGCCCCTGAAAAATGGGCCAATCTGCCGAAAGTGTGACTTATGACCTGTTTTGGAGATATCCGGGGTCCTACTCATTCAATGACATGTAAGTTATATAATTTTATAGTGCATATATGAAATTATAGTTTATATTGTTTTTTTTTTAACATATAATATTATAGTGTTATGAAAGTTGCTCCACTAAAGATGTCTGAGAAAGAACATTGCTTAAATTTTGTTTATCTATTAGATCACCCATTTTTTTCAGGCGAAAAAGAATATGAGCTAATATTGAACTGTGCAAATGTAAGTTCAAAGAAAAGGCCAGACCTCTCTTGCATTATGAATGGCATGCCAATTTTAAATTCAGAGTTCAAACCCTTAGGATATACGTCATTACAACGAGAGAAAGACAGAATTAAGAACTCAAAAATCAGTCAATCAACAATTACTAAGCAAGGGAGGTCCAGAGCTTCAGACAAAGCCTCTATCTTCTTAATCTTGGTAAGTAACAAGTGATTGATTATATGAAAAATAATTTTTTTTGATATAAATTGAATTATTTGATAATCAGGTGACTTGATGGAGTCTTACTTTATGGATTTAGAATACGATAGCTTATACCGCTCATGGCCATTTTTTACAACCAAACTGGTAATAGATAAAACCACAATCCCACTTGCAGGAATCGCAATTCACCATTTGTTGGCTTTAGAAGTATATGATTCATTTTCTTTGAGCGAGTTTACACCCACTGGTCAAAATAGTCCAAATCGGCTAGAAATCGGATGTCCGATTTTAGGCCGAATTTGGTGATAAAGATGGCCGATTTATTAATTTAGGCAAAGTTCCGATTGGCAGGCCGATCGACGCCGATCAGAATATCCAAATTGTATCTGAATTGCTTAGTATTTTTGATCCGAATTGTTTAAAAAATATATTCATAAATTTACCGAATTGCAGTGAATTTATTCTGAATTATGATAAATTTTGATAAATTGCGATAAATTTTAATCTGAATTGCAGTAAATTTTAATC